AGACGGACAGAGGTAATCTTTGCAACAGGAGAAAATGTTTCTAAATAGTCTACTCCATACACCTGAGTAAATCCTCTAGCTACCAACCGAGCCTTCAATCTATCAATAGAACCATTAGGCTGCACTTTTATAGTGTACACCCATTTACAACCAACAACAGGCTTACCTGAAGGACGAGGGACAAGATCCCAAGTACCATTTTGTTCCAAAGCAGACATCTCTTCTTGCATAGCTAATCTCCAACCATGATGATTAAGAGCATAGGTAATAGACTTAGGAATAGAGATAGAATCAAGAGAAGCAACAAAAGAAGAATATGACATAGAGAGACGAGAATAAGAAACAAAATTAGAAATAGGATGGGAAGTACAATGTCTCTTACCTTTGCGTAAAGCAATAGGAAGATCTAACTCAGAGGAGGGCGTCATACCTGGATTTGAAGATTGAGAGTTAATTGGTGAAGTGCGTGGCATATCAGGAACTTTCTCAACCATGGAACGACGAGAGTAAACTTGAAGATGAGGACGAGATAATCGAGCTATGGAATCTGGTGGACTAGACAACTCAGGTAATAAAGGGGAAGGGACTGGTAAAACAGGAGAGGAAAAAGAGGGACACTGGTCTAATTCACAAGACATACTTTGCTTGATAAAATACGGAGTGGATTCAAAGAAAGTAACATCAGCACAAGTAAAAAATCGATTTAAAACTGGACTGTAACATCTATACCCTTTTTGCGCTCGTGTATATCCTAAGAAAATACACTTAATAGCACGAGAATCTAATTTATCCACCCCGGGAGCAAGCTGATGAACAAAGCACACACATCCAAAAATACGAGGAGGCAATTTAAACACAGATTCATGAGGAAAAAGAATGGAGTGAGGTAATTGACCTCCAAGAATATTAGATGGCATGCGATTAATTAAATAACATGCAGTTAGAATTGCATCACTCCAAAATTGTTTGGGCACATTCATGTGCAACAATAGTGTTCGAGCAATTTCGATTAAATGCCCAATTTTTCTTTCAGCAACTCCATTCTGTTGTGGAGTGTGAGGACAAGAGGACTGATGAATAATACCAGACTTAGTCATAAAGGTATTAAAAGGAGTGGAAAAATATTCTTTCGCATTATCACTGCGAAGTATACGTACAGGCACACCAAATTGATTCTTTATTTCTGTAACAAATGCACAAAAAATGGAATATAATTCTGAACGATCTTTCATTAAATAAAGCCATGTAACTCTGGAAAAATCATCAACAAAGACTACAAAATATTTAAAACCTAACTTTGAAGTGACTCGACTAGGACCCCAAACATCAGAATGAACTAACAAAAAGGGTTCAGAAACCCGTTTATTGACTTTAGGAGCAAAAGAAACACGATGATGCTTTCCTAACTGACAAGACTCACATTCTAACGAAGATAATTGATTCAAAGTAGGAACCAACTTTTTCAAATTTTGTAAAGACGGATGACCTAAACGACAGTGAATTTCAAGAGGAGAAACAGTAGCAGGACATGCTATCGGACCATTAAAGTTGAGAAAGTAAAGACCATTATGCTCATGCCCTCCACCAATCGTCCTCTTTGTCTTCAAATCCTGAATGACAACGGAATCAGGAGAAAAAGTAACTGTACACTGTAGAAATTTAGTGAGCTTACTAACAGACATTAAATTAAATGGTAAATTGGGTACGTAAAGAACAGAAGACAGCGGAAGTGATGGATTAATTTCTACAGTGCCTAGTCCTTTAACTTTAGTGGTAGATCCATCAGCTAAAGTAACATGAGGAAAGGGAGTAGACTCTTGAAAATTAGAAAAAATTTTAGAGGTACCTGACATATGATCAGTAGCCCCGGAATCAATAATCCATGGGTCATTACCTTTTTGTGCTAAAGAAGCAGAGGGAAGAGATGCGTGATTTGTAGCTTGGTACTGTAGGAATTTAACATAATCTTCCTCAGATATAGTAACAGTTTTCTGGGACCCATGTGTTGAAGAACTTGATTCAACTTGGTCAGTGATAACCGTATTAACAAACCTTTCAACCATAGCGAATAGCACGTCAAACGAAAGAACGGGTCAAAACTTGAGACAAACGCGTGAACAGTAACGGCATGAACAGTACTACGTGAACAGTATCGGCGTGAACAGTGCCGTGAACAGTATACGTGAACAGTGCCGCTATGAACAGTGCGGCGTGAACAGTGATTTGCTAGATGTTTTACCCTAACCCTAGGACTTTTGCTCTGATACCATGTCAACAGGTATCTTGGGAGGAAAACATCTAGTCACACTATTATGAGTGACCAACTAGTATTTATAGGAGTACAAACCTAACAGACTATTTACAAGAATACCCTTACTAATTTATTATCTATAAGAATACTAATATTCTCCTAACAGAAACCATGGAAGTGAATCTTTCCGATTACACATGCAATATAGGTCAGGTTTTAAAGCCGATGAAATGCATGCACACCTGAACAACTACTAACTCAGGAAGGGTTTGAGACACAGATAAATTTAAGGAGTGAATTCTGCGAACAAAATGCATTTATCCTTTGCACGTCAGTTGTACGATCGAAATTTTACTCTCCCTCTCTCTTTTTTTTCTTTTTTTTTTACAAATTATGCTAGTTATACAATAGAAATCTACTTTGACCAAAAAAGAGAAGGAAATTTTTTTGTTTTATCGAAAAATGATTAGTACCCCGCTCGATTCTCTCCTACGTGATCAAATGATTTTCTTAGGCCATTTTGACATTAATTAGAGTAGTTTATCACCCCGTGCAAACTGCAAAGCACAGAATTATCAAACTATTGAAAATGTACGTGGTCGAGAGACAAAATTTACTCGTGTTTGATATGGATTCCTTCATTATTCAGGGAGAGGGGGGGGGGAGGGAAACAAGGATGTACTCTCCACGCGGCAATGCTAAATGTAGGCAAATTGAACCCTAAACTGGCAAATTGAAGTTGAACCGTGAACAACATTTCCCTTCTCAAAGCTTACAGCAATTTTTCTTTTCCTTTTTAGTAAAAGCACGTGTGTGTGTGTGTACACAAACAAACACACATACACATACATGGGATCAAATCAGAGCTCTCCATACAAATTCCATTTCTTGACAATTAACCTAATAATAAGAGTTCATTTTTTTATATATATACTGACAATATATATATTATGATGATTTGATGCATAACACATGAATAAAATTTTAATTTGAATTAAAACAGTGCTTTCCATCCAACAAGTTGATAAATGACAGTTTAAATGAGTGATAGTTATTGTTATTTTTCAATATTGAAAAGCAAGGCAAAGAGATGAAAAGACGCATTAACATATAGGAGTGCTAGATTATCGAGAGAGAGAGAGAGATGGGAGTACTACGAATTATTTAGCACATTTCTATATTTTTGTGCCACCAAAAGTCTAAATTTTGGTAGTGAAGAAAAAAAAATCTTTACCAAAATCCCATAAATATTATGAGCTTTTCTATCATTTTGGTGCTAGGGATGTGGATTTAGACTACAGATTGAGTCCTACATATTTATTTTTCTTCTCAAACGAAATTCTTTCCTCACAAAATTGTTAATGAAAATTGTTGCGATTCGCTAGAATCGGTAGCTCAAGCTGGTAATGGACCACTAAGGTGGTTCATTTTCATATCAGATTTAATGTTTAGCAGTTTCGTGCTAAGTAATGAAAAAAATGAGCGTCGAGCGGCCAGTTAAAATTTGGTGCGAATAACAATTGGCGTAAAATTAATACCAAGACAAAGAATGTCAAAGTGCTGCATCTGTGATTCATTATCGCGCCAAGCTACATGATCCTGCTTGCTTTGTAGGTCTATTATTAGGCCGCGGGTAGAAAACAAATACGACTTGCGAACAAATTCCAGCATCCGCAGCAAGGGTATACATACCTAGAGAGCTGTTAAGTCAATCGAGTACCTCGAAAACTCGTTAAGGCTCGAGTTCGGCTTGTTAATTTTGGTTAACGAGTCAGAACTCGAGCTCGAAACATGCTCGTTTAGTTAACGAGCCGAGTTTGATACTCGAGTAGTTCGTTAGGGTTCGTTAATGAAGGGCATATTTGTCATTTTAGAAATCAAAATTATAAAAATTAAAAATTATAGGTTTTTATTAAGGTTAATTTGCACGAATTGGAACTCGAGCTCGTGAAGCTCGACTCGTTTCACAAACGAGTCGAGCTCGAGCTCGAGTTCGAGCCACATGTACATTTAACGAGTCGAGTTCGAACACATTTTAAAGCTCGTTTTCCTAACGAGCTCGAGTCGAGCTCGGCTCGAATTAAACTCGAACTCGGCAGCCAAATACTCGGCTCAATTAACAGAACCGTAAAGAGTAAATTGAAATATTAATGGCTAGGATTTCAGAGCATCACATTAATTTATGGTACGAATAAGTCCTATATGGATCAGGAGTTTTCTTCTCATTTCTGTCAAGTGGTGTAAACATTTGGTGTAAAGTTACAATTTAGTATAAACGTGAATTTTGTAAACTTAAACAATTAATTCACAATTTTTTTTTATTAATTCACAATATACCAAAATTGTACGAACTTATGCTAAAGGTTGTAAGAATTATAATAATTGGACTGAATTGAACAGAATCAACTAGAGAGACTCGGGAAGTCACGATCCCATGTAGTGTTTACCTCCTCTTCTTAGCGTTCCAAGAAGAGTAGGAGTACATGAAAATAAAAATTTAAAAAAGACGATAAAAAAGAAAAGAAAAGAAAAGAGGGCGCTGACTGTCCCCCAGCTAATACATCACCAAGTGGACAGCAAGAAACCCCCCGGCCCGGCGCCGGCGGTGAGGAATGAACAAACTGCCCGGGCCCAGCTAACACATAACCAGGTGAGGAACGAAAAGAAGGCGGGTTGCCGTCCCGTTGCGGAACGAATAAATTAAAATGCCGGCGGTGAGGAATAGAGTCAGAAAACTGAAAAAGACTACCTAAAAGTTGGGTGTAATCCAGGCAGAGGGGCAAATATAGCTGAGCACCTTAGGGGCATGGTAAAAGGGCTCGACGGTTCCTGTTTCCATGTTGTAGACACCCATGTCTTTGCCTCCACCTCCTGCAGTGGCGCCGTATCCCAACCAGCAATCGTCTGTGAAGTATATATGATTGGGTTTGATTCCTGGGGCTAGTTTACCATTTGAAGGGACCTCAAACGAAACTGTAGCACTATGGCCAAGAAAAAGCGCTCTGTTTCCCAAGCTCTTGATTTCTTTCAAACACAATCGAGATGATGACCATGACCCCCCTTGTCCTCCTCCTCTTCCTCCTGCCGATAAATCCAGCTCAAAAACCTTAAATTCAGCAGTGCCGTACCTAGGCTCACGGTCTTCCGCGTCGTCGTCAAAAAAGGGGAAATTATCTCTAGTAACGACCAGGAGCGACTCCTCCCTCTCAGATTCTGCAATGTATAACTGCTTGAGGTACCAAAAGCGATAGCATAAAGTAGCAAGAATCCTAGCTTCTCCATTAATCTTGGGGTTGCAAACCACAACATTTCCCTTCTTATCAACTGCATAGATTTGGCCGTTGTAATAGGTGACGTCGCTGTATACAGACACTCGCAGCACAACTCTGTTCCAGCTTTGGTCCCCTGGCTTCCAGAATGCCAAGAATCTAACGGATCCACAAATGAGCATTACCACATAGTCCTCCTCCTCGGCCTCGCTTGGCCTTGCAGACAACGCGAACTTTTCCACGAAAATAAACGCATCGGGTTCATAGCGATCGTACCCTGGAACAGTATTCTGGTTGGGTAACGGAATTTCGGGACCCGACGAGAAGGGATTCAGCAAACTCATGTCCCCTTTTTCTTCTATAACTAATAACCATCCGAACGATTCCAGACACCTCTTACCTTTAAGTTTTGGTAGATTCACTTTGGCCACAACTTCATTCTCCAGCAAACTGTAGAACTCCCGATCACCGACATCGTTTTCATCTTTTGCAGCAACCATGAGACAAGGAATCTGCTTCCATAACGGAATCCCTCTAAAATTCTTCTTCTTGTTTGCCGCCGCAGCTCGCCATGAGGTGCAAACTGCACCGAAAGCCACGTAGTCTTCAATCTTGGTGAGGTGCTGTGCAATAACTTCCAGCATGTCATATTGGAGCTCGCACCAATTTGCCATGGGTCAATTAAAACACAGCCTCTAGCCCCCTGAAAATCAAGTGCAAATCTTTTTTTTTTTTCCAAAACAAAAAATCAACCAAGATCTAGCAAATTTTTGCTCAATAAGCTTAGGGTTGGGTTGCCATGAGTTTATTAAGGTTAGGGGTTTAAAAACGCACGAGTGACAAATGGGTTTCAGTTTCCTTAGATTCTGTTCATTCGTTGTCAGAGATTCGAAGTGGTAACAGGTACGACTAAAGGAAACAGTTTCTATTTTCTGCTCTACTTCCCTTCACCACCACAATGGGCTGCAAGGATTTGCTGTTATGAGTTATGATAACGGGCTTTCTTTGTACCATAACGGGTTTCAAGGATCTGTTTGACAATTTCAGCTATTGCTCATTCTGCCTTCTTTTAGGAGGGGGCAAGCTACCATGAGAGTTTTAGAGCCCATGAAGTGAGCCCACTCCTTTGAACCGCTCATGCTTGTCGGGTACTGGACAAGCCCGACCACTTTTCTTTTCTGCGTATCGTTGTAATTTTCTCAACGAAGTTCAAAGTAATGGTCTCTTTCTCTTTGGGTTCCGCCTAATTCGGTCCGCCTGCTGTAATTTTTGTTTACAATATTTGATATACATTCGTACAGTTCCGGCGTACTCGTAGATTTTACACCATTTAATTGCATGAGTTTACAAATTTTTTGATTGCTTCAAAATTTGTATGAATTTATACTAGATGGTAGAAAAATTATATTAACGGGTCGGACTAAATGAAACTCAACTGGTGAGACTTTTAGATCCCAAGTTTCATGCCAATACAAATCTAGCATTAACGAAAAATAAAAATTTGAAAGGACGATACTCATCACACTATTAATTCATTTGGATGGCGGCCGAGGCTGAATCAAGAAATTGTTATTGATGAAAGGAGGACGGACCATATTGGTCCGCCACGCTTTATAAGTTGCTCAATCAAAAGTTCTATAAATCGTACCAATCTCATTAAGGATTTCTTTTTGTTTTTTTTTTGGGGTTAGGAAGTTCTTGCACTAAGGACGAAAAAAGCAAATGGACTAATGTTTCCTTCTGCCAAAGAATTAGGTTTCCAATATGTTTCAGTGTTGACGGCATGAGCTGAGAAATCTTAGTTAACAACTAGAGTTCTTCACATTACGGCTTCAATGAGAAATTTAATTGCTTTTGAAACTGGCACAAAGACTTATTGATGCCCCGCATCCCTTGTGCTGCATTTTAAGATATTAGTAGACTCAGACTTACAATCCTTTTATTTAAATACACAATGACATCTGTTAATCTCCCGAGAGTGCCGTAGTAAGCTAGCAAAACATAGAGCCTTGACTCTTTCGCTAAAATGCATCCTAGGAAGGTGAAAGTTAATCTATCGACATGCAACCACTTAGAATAAGTAGCCTATGAGGTTTCCATCAATTAGCAAGCTGTTAATACATGAATGATTTATCGCAATAACTCAGGATACGCCTTTTTGTTATTTACTTTAACCTCATGATGCAGGAGTGGTTTAATGAGATAAGACGATAAGCTCCAGACAAATTTCACCAAATCACCTTTTGCTAATTTGGTCCTACTCCATGGCCATATAGGGCGTTCCAGCTACGCACATAGCTTTGTGTTTAAGCTTTGCTTTTAACCAATGATAGCCACGAGTAATATCAGGATATATAAAATGCCATGATCTAACTATCACCACCACCTGCGAATTTGTTGCATTCTTTAAAATTTGGAAGCCTTGCATGTTAAACCATGCAAGCCTTATCTCCACAGTTGGCCAGACAATATTGCATACGATGATTAATTTGGCCTCTACAGCACAAGCCCACATCCATGTCTTCTCCTTTAGGGGAAGTTATGATTTTGGAGGATGAAAAATGAAGTTCTTTGATCTTAAATAATGTAGAAATGAGATTTCTTACAAAAGGGTTTATGCAGTCTTAAAAAAGAACTAAGAAATGCTTCAGAGTTTGGTAGTGATGGTGCATTGATCTCACTAAACTAGGAAGCCTGGTTTGTGAATAGGGAGAATATTTTGATAGAGTCTAGGACCCCTGTCAATTTGAATGAAAGATCACCAAAGATATGATCAAAAGAGCTATCCTACCTTCAAGGACTGTAAAGTGAATTTCATTGAAAAAAAAAAAAGTATCTTTAAGCCACATACGACTCTAGTATAATAGCAGAGCCAGTATCAACCCAAATCTGTGAACTTTGATTTAAGTTCAAGCTGTTTGAATTGAGCAAGTCTGAATCTCTTTAATCTTAAATTAGGCTGCTTTCAGTTCTTGAATTGCTCTGCTTTCATTTAATCAAGGGAAAACGTCAAGACTCCAGCTGTTTCATTCTCTTATATGGAGATCCATTAATTTGGTTCTAGACAAATATGCGTTATCTGCAGGTATTTCAAGTAGACTAAGGCAGTTTTAGTCTTTGCTCCTCGCTTTTGCAGGAGTCAACCTAATTCTAATGCCAAAAGATTGCAAGCGCATAATGGGAATGTCGAAGAGAGACATGCAGAAATTTTGTCTGAAAAACTTTTTCGAGTGCACATCAATGGTCTGAACTCCCATACTTTATATACTAAATTGAGTAGTATATTACTCCAAGGACTTCTCACATCTGCTAATACATAAAATAGACATAGCACTGACAACTGATCACAAAGTAGAAACCATTTGTTTAATCCTTACCAAATTTTGCTATTAGGAACTTAGGACAAATAAAAGCACGAGCTCTTATTAAAGTGCATGATAATACCCAAGCATTGATACAATTTAAACCCTAACTTCGTTCTTTTTAGTAATTTTCCATGTAATTAAGAACCTCACACATAGTAAACCCTAGAAACCCTGACTAAACTTCATCAGTTTGCACACAAACACACTGTAAACATCCATAGGAGGATCAGACACAAGCAATGCACAAACAGCAAAGTACAACTTGCTGGATTCCATTATTGACTTAATTGGTCAACCATCGCAGACCACTGCCATACTTAAAAGTTTTTCTAACTTTGTCCATGAAGAAAGTATCATGACTTATCTCCAAACAAGTAGCCAAGGCTTGAATCTCCACCTGGAACTGATTTCACCTTTGTTGAAGGCCGAATCTGAAAGGTAAGGCACCAATTTAGACTGCTACTTGCAAAAAAAATAAAAAATTGTTTTTATGTCACACAATACATCTGAGCCAATTTAATACACTAAACATGGTAACTCACAGTAATGCTCTTTCCGGAATTGAGGTCTTTAGGTGATCTCTTTGGGTCTCCAGAGACATTTCCTTTAGACGACGCTGAAGGATTGTCTGGTGGCTTCTCCTCCTCACCGGTGTCGATCCCATATGGCGGAGCAAAAACTACTGGTGTGGCTGTTGGTGCAGTATCTTTCTTCTTATCATCGGAACCAAAGAGATAGCCTAAAGAACTCTGACCACCACCGTAGCTCTCACGTCTGCTCATGCTTGCCTTTGGAGTCTTTATTTCACTAAGAATGATCAAAAGGGTTCGATCTAAAAGCTATGTTTTGTGTGGTTGAGTGAGCTTATGCATATATAATATGTTTGGTGATGGATGATACATAGGGGCATTGGGACAACCTTGTTATGACTACTGTTTATAACACAGTCTAAGTACCATGGGAAAATCATGCCATACTGCCCGTTTGGATCAGAGTTTTTGAGGATTTTTGCAGAAAAATATAGTTTAGCGAGATGATGTACATACTATTTATGCGAGATAAAAAAAAAAAGTGATTAAGAAATATGTCGAGAAAATATTTCAAAATTTTTTTCAAAAAAATTGGCAATCCAAACAGCACCTAAAGACATCCGAGTGAGGAACAGGTATCCAATGATGTAGTCATTGTCCCTGAGACACCTTTATACACAATTACATTGTAATTATTGATGAACTTGAGGCTGAACTAATTGGCACTCCAATCTTTGTGATCGTCCCACAACAGTTTTGTTGCAGGTAATGTACAACTTGCTAGTTCTTTATATCTTTTTTTTTTTTCTTTGATCAAATGTCTAAAAATCCACGTACGACATTTCTTGAGGTTTTCCTTCAAATTCAATACTCAAGCTCGCGGTTTTCATAGTCATGTGAGGCTGTAAAACGTACATTACTAGTGTAAAAGGTACAGAAGACATGGTTATATTAATCTTAAAGGCCCTTACACTTTTTCAGAAGGATTTATTTAATTCTTGAGTACTTTTTCAACATTTCCATTTGTTAATCTTTCATCTGAGAATTTAGTCCTTAGCATTTCTTTGGCACGACTTGCAGACTGCTATGAAGCACAAGTACTTTAAATGCTATTTCACAAACTTAACGCAATTGTAGTAAAGAATAATACATTTTTAAACTAAAGGCTCACAACCTGATTTAGGTCGTTCCATGATTGGGGTTAGCCATTAGATACCGGCCACATCTAATACCTGCAGCAGGGTGGCTTTGAGTTTCGCCATTTGTGAATACATCTACTGTGGAGGAGCCAATCCGCCACTAACACGTGTCAGTTCGGACATGCCTATTCGAACTGACAGGGAGGTCAGTTCGAGCACGACCACCGCCTCTCCATGAGTAGGCTGAATGGCCGATGATCCTTGACCCCTTGGGATAAGACCGGAGGTAGAGTCCAAAAAGGAATCCACCACTAGTACCCTAGTAGAGCTCATAATTCCACAAGGAAACAACTGCTGAGGACTTTATAAATACCACACGACGGGATAAAGTAAGGTACGCCATCTACAGTAAACAGCACCATTATTTTACTTGTAGCCATAACTGACTTAATCGTCGGAGTCACAATGGGGAGCTAGCCCCGCTGTTTACTCTTTTGCAGGTCAGTTTGGAATTGTCCCATCGGTACCGGTTCGGTTCCTCTCAGTTCGAGACCACCCCTGGTGCACAGTTCGGATAGTGCTATCGATTGTCGCATCATCTACAAAAGAATTTCCCTTGATTACTTGTAGAGATCGGGTTTTAGTTTCTACCCAAAATGAGACCTTATATAGTGTAATCTCCAATGACTTGTCACTGGTTAAATCCTCTTGGCCAAAATATCTCATTAGCATATGAAAATTTGGTATGAACTTGATTTGAATTATAAACATGTAAATGTCGAATTGAATCTTAAGACAGGTTAAGAGACGTAGATATCCCAAACTCTGGGCGGAGCCATCTTATAGCCAAAGGTGAGCAATTGCAAATTTGGTTGGTAAAAGTTAAATTTTTTAGTTTGCATCCCCTTAAATTTTCAAAACTCCCTTTAGCCTCCATATTGCCCTCACTATTTTTTTTTTGTTGAACTCCTTCATTTACTTTTTGTCCTATTGATGAAAATTTAAACTACCATTACCGGAATAGATACAATGTGAAGGTCTCTTAATTTTGGCTTCAATGACTACTAAAAATTATTTTGTTTTCAATCTTTATAGAAATGCATTTGTCAAAGAGATTTCACCCCTAACATTTAGGTTTTAATTCTGCCACTGATCTAAACCATATTATTCATGTGAAAGTTGAATGAAATCGATCATCTCGCTGCGTGAGGAAAATATATGTGTGCTAAATGTAAAAATCTTGTATCTTTTCAACGAAGCAATCTATCTGGTACCTTTTTATCCATGCTGATAGAAAAAGTGTGCATTACATTACACCTGATGTTCCGAAATTTTTTTTTTTAATCAGAATACTCCTTCAACATATGCAAGAAATCTGCCATTCTCAACACAATATGTAAGGAATGGTTTAGTATTTGATGACAAAGGAGTAAAATACTGTAATCTTTGATAGCGTAGCCAGGAGGAGTTGTAGAAACAATTCGAAGACAGATTAATAAATGCATTTTGATTTTTGGTGAGAATTTCTAGAATCAATTATTATTATGGCCAGCCAGATTGAGTCGTCAAGCTATCAATCCTAGAATCTAAACTCCTAGCTCGAGAATTATCAATTCAACTACTAAAATGGCATCTGGCACTTCATCACCTAAATGTTTGTATAAGGTTTAATGATCTACAAGGTGAATAGGATTTGCAGGAACTTGTATCATGGAGCTTCTTAGTCTAATTACTCCATTGATTGATTGCAATTGACAATAATAAACCTGTCTGTCTATAGTGTACGTCACTTGAAACTCGAACATGCATTGGGATTTGGCTTAACAAATTGTAGAATTTCAGAATGATTCACGCTTGAAACAAGAAATGCACACGCACGCTTTCCACAGATGTCATTTTCCCGAGTCTAGATATCCAACGCGTAAAAATGTTATAATAGAGATCCGCAACAGAAGTTAAGGTTTGTTTTAAGTGCCAAAATCTCATAGATTTAGACTTATATGACGTGTATGCAGATTACAAGAACATTAAAAATAAAATAAAATTTCATCATTCTACTTCGACGTGGAAATTGGTAAAATGTCAAGATCAGGCAGGTGAATATCCTTTTCAAGAAGGAATAATCATGATTTCAAAGTACGTTGTGGTATGGATTTAGCGTACCCAGCTGATGAAAACATCATCCGAAGTAGCTGGCTCATTTTCCGCACAGACAACCCATGTATATATTATTGAAATTCCCCGTCTCAGAAATAATTGGTAAACTTCCACCAAAAACAAAACAAACAAGCAAGCAAATAGAAGCAGTGGTATACAAGAAAGCAAGATTTTTGGCCATGGTGGCTGAGATTTGTGGGCTCCTGATTTCATTTCAAGGCCGGAACTAATTAATCAAACTTAGAACATCATAAATAAAGCCTAACTTTTGAGATTCAAGGTCATATAATAACACTTGGATAAGGGTTATTCGATCTCGGGGTCTATTGTTCTCCACGATTCAACTATCCATCATCAATCACAGCAGGTGCTATTATCGGGTATCAGCCATCAACACCATTAACTCCTTTAATAGCCAAAAGGAGGATGATTAATGGGGTTAAATCAAGATAAGGCATTACTTTCACAGAAATGGAAAAAGGACGGAAATGACAGCTTGATTGACCTAGCTAGCTAGTGTAACTGTTGGGGCAATAATGGTCGGTTTTCCCTGAAAAATCATGTACATGCTGACGGAACGGAACTAACTGGTTCCGTGGAGATCGGCATTTAGAGTCCGGTTGGCGGGGAGCTTGTGGGGCAAACCCAGCTCCGTTTAACTAATCCTTCCTTTGATTGCTGTCTTGTGCTTCGATATGGCCAAGGAATGTTATATTCTTCAAACTTCATTCTTGATTGCAAGTTATTCCATGTACCAAATAAATAAATAAGGTATAATTGCATTTCGCACCCTAAATGGATTTTTTTTTTAAAAAAGAAATCATTTTTTATTTTGCCTTTTAAGCTTTTATCTTGAACATGTCACACATCACATTTTTATATACCAAGCATTGTCACTTTGCAACTCCAACTTTTATATTGGACGCATTTTACATTAATTAATTAGTTATCTACACATCTCAAATCTCCCCAGTTTTGCCAAAAAAAATAGTAAACTAATGAAGGTAAACGTACCAAGATTAATTTCCTTCCTCTTCTTTTTTTTTTTTTGTTGCCCGCCCGATATCTGAAACTTTGCCCCGACTAATCCGAACCCGACCCGCATCGCGCACCTGGCTATGGTGGGTGAGTCTCCCAACAGAGGTGTCTGCGTACACTAGAACTCGAACACGAGACCTGCTTAAGAGAATTCGAGCCGCTTACCACTCGGACCAACCCCTGTTGGTAATTTCCTTCCTCTTCAAGGTAAACGTTTGCATCAATTCTCAAGACTTTTAAAAGATGACAAGCAGTTCACGTGATCTTTTGTTACTTTGATCTCAATGCGAGCCACAAAAAACAAAAAGTTTTATCCAAAAATTTAAGATGTGAGATGATAACTTGTGGGTATATTGGGGTATCATGTTAGAGTTAGGTCTCGATTGGAATTGAAGTGGCTTATAAGAGAATATTTTTGACACAAATGCTTTTAATAAAAATATTTTTAAATTGTCAAGAGTTTCGTTACTTAAGTTATCAAAAATTAATTACAAAACATCCTAAAAGTACTTTCAGTAGTATTTAAAAGAGATTTTTTTTATAAATGCACCGCACCCCAAACGGGCCATTAGTCAACTTTAATTATTTTGCGGTGTGCCGAAGGGAGGGGACTGCTACTTTTGTTTCAATCAAGTCCATGCAGTAACAGTATTCTACAGTGCAAGCTCTCGATAAATATGAAAAATTATGGCCAGACCAGCACCTGGAATAGTTGCGAAGGAGGAAAGTATGATGCCAATGGCCCTCAAGAGACAAACTGATGGCTACGCTTATATTTTAATGGATCCTTAAGGAGAAATCAGTTGACAGGATGGTCTGTCCCTGGACTGCAAGAGATGATTGTGTCTATTATACATGGCATCAAACTTTAATATGATGAGACGACAAGTTTAGGGTTAATCACACTTGAACTTTGGTGCTAATCACACTTTATCAAACTCAACCTTAAAAATATATGATTTACATACTATGAAAACTAGTCAAAATTATAAATATGTAAAATGTCAGTGCAATGATAGTATTGCCTTTTTGTTTGTGAGATTATATATAACTTATTATATTTCCCTTTTATTGTTAAAAAAATATACATCTTCTCTATGTTATATACTATACAAAAATATTAAATAGATAAAAGATAAAAATAATTACATTTATTTTATCATTCTCAATTTTTTTTCTATTGGATTAATGTTCACTTTTATATATACTTTATTCAATTTATTAGACTTCAAATCAAATAATAAAGATAAATAACACAATAACAATAAATTGAGTTAGCAAAATTTTGCAAATATAATGTAATATTAAAAAGTAATTATTTATTGTATTAGTTTATGTAAACTATTAAAACAATAATATATTATTTTGTTGATTGCCCTTTTATTGTATTAGTTTATGTAATATAAAAAGTAATTGTTATTATTATTATTATAATAATGTAATATTAAAAAGTAATTATTTATTGTATCAATTTATGTAAACTATTAAAACAATTAATAATATATTATTTTGTTGATTGCCCTTTTATTGTATTAGTTTATGTAATATAAAAAGTAATTGTTATTATTATTATTATAATCTATTTGTTAAATTAGTCAAATATTAAATATCTAACAAAAATTGTTAAAAGGGTTGATACGTCCCATTTTTAAATTTATAGGAGGAAAATAGAGATTGAATCAAATTTCACTAGTTTTTGGCCAGAAAAGGGTAATATTTAAAAATTATAAATAATTTTGGCAACAAAAGGGCAATGCCATCATAACACTCACTTTTTCTTAATGGAGTTCTTCTTTTTTTTTTTTTAGTGTAAATAGGAGGTATCAAATTTGAAACCTCTCACAAATAACTAATACTTCCTCTCCTCTCGTACCATCCAATCCATTCCTCCCCTATGAAATTAATATTTCTAAAATTAACCAGTCTTCATAGGAGTGAAATATAAATTTTTAAAGTTGAGGGTAAAAAAAAGTGTGACCAAGTGTTAAGAACCCTGTGTTTTAACAACATCGGGAGGGTTCTGTTATCGTTTGGAAAAAAAAAAAACAACAACATCGGGAGGGTCCTTGTAGAAAGCTATGTGGCAAATGGCAACATTCTGAAAGATTGGCCAAATTTACATGGGCTACTGATGTTGATCTCAAAAGTGGTTCCACTTCATTCTTATGCGGCCCAAACGAACGCTAATACAAACCTAAGCCCACCCAGATTCAATACGCCCGAAATTTCAAGAACTTTCTATATGCCTTCATTTTCTTTTTCCTTTTTTTTGTTTTTTATTTGCCTTTTGGTTTTACCTTCTTCTGAAAAGTTCCGATACGTCGTACTCCGCTCACTGCTGTAGGAAAAAAAAGGAAAAATCTCTCCTTCACCTCCGTCGGGCCCGGGCAAAACCCATTACTGGTAATCGGGTATCCTTGCCTTGTAATATTTTTTTATTTTAGTTTGTATTTAAATCATTTATTTGTAGTTCGTTTATTTTGTTCTTCGCGTAATGGAGCGCCATTTAATGCAATCTAACAATGCTAAAAAAAGGCAAAAGCTTTCTGTTTCTTGCAGGCATAATCAATATGATAAAACTATGGTCCTGTGTTGATTTCATTTTTCTATGATTTACTCTTAAAAGCTATCCCCGGTTCTTAAGGACTTAAGAGGATGTATGATTTTGCTGATTAATGATGTGTGGTCTAAGATCCAAAATAAATTAGGCTGGTTTCTGGGCTGTAGCTAATTTCTAATTTGTCCGTGTTGTGAATGTTGTTGGCCTGGAGGTTGCCTCTGCATATGTTGCTGGCAGATATGCTCCTGGAAGCAAGTTCTTTACTTTAGGAAAATTTTAAGAGAATGAGATTGGTAAGCGCGACATGGCTAAATGTTTGATAGATGAAGCATATTTTTTAGGTGCAAATCGCAAGGAATTCAGTTGATGAAATCAAAATTTGCATTGGGTTCTGCATTATCTTGTTGAAACCAAATATTCAAGGGTTGAATACCCTCTTGGTACTGTACTTTCTTTTGCAGGACTCTCACTTCACTCGGTTGAAGAACGGATAGAGCAAATTTCCATATGTTTAGAACGACTGCTTTACGGAATGTTGTCAAGAATTGTAGATGGATGTATTTTTCTGAAGGAAGATGGGGTAAATACATGGATCATAATTTTTTAATTTACTTCATTATTAAAATTTTATGCTACTTAACTGACAGTAATCTAATTTCACAAACTGGATAGTGAGCACTATGACTCCGAAGAAACAAGCTAATGATGATGCTGGGGAAGGACACATGGTAGAGACTAAGGCTAATCCTGATCCAACTGTTGCATTCAGCAGACCACCTCCGCTTCCGCCTGTTCTTGGACCATTAGTTGCTTTCTCACTGTTGGAGTCATGGTTACAACGGGATGGCGATGATCCTTGAAAGTTGAACTAAGGCCTTCCCTTGAGTAAGCTAATGAATTGTGAATACTTGCTTCAAATGCTAGTTTTGGTTGTCCTCTTTTTGTAGATAAGCCCACTCTGAAATGTGGATGTACATGTTTTCTTGAATGTGAAGTTGAAAAGTTACTGCTCGCAAATAAAACTGTTATGGCATTTACGAGCTAATAATCTTTGCAATGTACTGCAATATCTTGAGTGTGATGCTGATAATGCCGACCGTGAAACTCCACAACTTGAGATACCATGCTACCAGTGGGTTCAGAATGGGCTGTAGAATTATGTTGTAGATCTTTAGCAACAGGGTAAATATGACATGGGGACTTTTTAGGAACCCTGCATGAGCCAGAGCAAGTCAGCTAAATAAAATCTTACAGCAATCCAAAATGTGCAAATAAGACAAACGCACTTTCTGCAGCCCCCGGGAACGCATCAAATAATGAAGTGATAATCTTGAATAGACCCTGGTTTTCCAGATTAGAACATCAAGTTGTCAGTGAAAGGGGACAGAAGAAAATGAAGGATCAATCTCACATGCACACACAATCCAAAATAATAACAAGAAGAAGAAAACGAAGGATCAATCTTTTGTGCACGCACACTCCAAAATGATAACTAGAAGAAGTAGAATATGCGAATTGACTATTGACTTAATGGTGTATCAGTTTTCTATTATTTCTGGAGTAGGTATAAGGAAGCACCAGTGCCAGGCCTCCAGGTTTGATTGGTGATTCGATAACTGCTTGCACTTTTCTGCACACAGATAAGAATGTCATGTTTGTTCTTAGTTAAATAGGTCTTTGGTTCAAAATTGTATGGAAGCTAGTGGGTTAGTACTTGATGACCAACGTTTCCCCATCTCTTGCAAATCCAAAATAGCTGGAGCCTCTTGTAAAAGGGACCTGTTTCTTCTTCCAATCTGCAGTCAACCGGAAATTTTCTTGTAACTCTTCTGGTCATATTTGATTGCAATACTATTCATACTTAGCTGGTAGGAAAAATTCATGCTCGTGACTTGCGAGATGCGATACCTAGGTGCCAATTTACTGCAGCTGTGAAGTCATCCCCTTCGCAAATATGCTCTACATTGAACTCCGTGTGCTGGCCCATAGATGTGATTAGTTGCTCAAGAAATTTAATTACCTCCTGCAGTAATTTGCAAAAGCTTATTAAATAACTAAATAAAACGTAAATTTATTCTGTAAATAAAAGTACCAAGTTATACCTGTTTCCCTTCGAATGGTTTAGGGAACGAGTAATCATCAAAGAAACAATCATCAGACAAGAGCTGCTCCAGTTGTTTCAAGTTCTTGTCGTTGATACTTTTGTAGAACTGCATAATTGAGTTGGATGTTGCGGGGGTATTAATGCTGATATCAGCACCGTCCGTTGCCAAAGCCACCTGTGATAATGGTTTGCTCTGTACTTTGCCCTTTCTGAACATTAGCTCTCTCGGTCCATTGATTTCCGTATGCTGAAGTTTTAGTGCTCTTTTTGAAAAGACAATGGGTGAGCGCGTTCCCGTTGCTGCAAAACAACCCGGTCGAATGGTTCTTCCAGACATTGTCACAGCCATCGAGAAAGGTCCTTCTAGTTTCAGATCAGTAATATTTAGCAGTTGTTGCCATCTTAAAATCTAAGGCTTAGCGTGAGACTAGATACATGGGTTTGGAGAATCTAAGAGAATGAGTGCTGCTGTTTTGCCTTGCGATGGAGAAAAGGCATCATTTCGGGGTCTTCCGTAATCTTTGTTTGTTGGATCTATATGGTGTTTTGTGGAGTGGCCCGTAATCAAAGAACCCCCAACCTTTGTATATTACACTGGAATCAGTTTTACCGTCTAGAGCTACAATTCATCTGAGCCAAACCGCGAGCAAATTGGCAGTAACATATAACTTTAATTTCAACAATGGTTATACGGAAATCTCCAAGAATTTGTCCACTGGCACCAATCCTTTCTTTGTCTCTACTTTATAGTTTTGACTGTGGAATGGACGCTAATTCTTGCTTTGTTAAAATCTCGAATTCTGTAGAAATGCTTTGTCAATAGTCCAAAGGCTAACGAGATGGATGGCTTTTTACATGCTTCTTTTAAGTAACATGCATAAGCTCAATGACAAAAATCTTTTGCTACAATCAAAGAACTGATGAAAATATAGCACGAACGAAGTGGTTAAACAGCATGAGCTGCTTTCTAACTAAAGATTAGTTGGTAAAATCTGAACTTCCAACAGGGGGCACCTTAATTACAGACTACAAGTCCCTGAAATGCCTTTGCTGCTATTCTTCTCTTGATTGTTCCGCGCTTAGGGACTATTAAGCAAACCTTGTCCTGAACTTCTACTTTTCTCTAGTGCAGCTGCAACAGCAGCTTCAGAATCAACTAAATAAAGGCCTTGGCAGAAAGAGTCAAGGCTGTCATTATTGTTGGTTCGGTAGAACGGTAGCTGATGAACAGACAACATTCATATTGTTGGGGCTGCTCCATGGCAACCAGCCAGCCAGGCTTCTGACTTTCTGATTCTTCTGCACTAGGTAGTAGCCTTCTAGGCGGGGCATTGCCAACTCAAGTGTTTGACCTCCAAAAGGTTCGCCGCAAGCAATTTCACAAAACCTCCTCACCTCGTTTCTTCTCCTTCTTAATCAGTTTCGGCTTTCTTGGTGCCCAAGGTACCATCTTGCTTTATTTAAAGAAGAAAAAATGTTTCTTTTTCATTTTCATTTTCATTAGTGTGGCTGAACAAAGTCGTCTAATTTGTCTCCTACGGGGATGGGGAATAAAAAAAAACAGAAGAAGCAAAAGGAGGATGTCTTAAAGCTGGTGCCGGTTTTGATTTTAGGTGGATAAACACTAGTGACGTAGCTCATGCAAAATCCTTAACCATTGCCACAGGCAGCAATCCACTTGCCAATTAGTGCAATGTGTCGCACTGTTTACTCCTCGGGAACATCGCAAAACCGCATATAATTACTAGTAGCATTTGTCTTGTAGGCAAATTTTAGGACATGCTAAAGGACCGTCAGTGACGACATGGCAAACGTCATCTTCCTTCTGATTATGCACAGCATGCCAATATCATACTTTGCTGGCAAAGCTGCTGCTTGACGATGCGCAGTATGGTCAAACTATGTCTCATGATGTTGTGCTAAGGTACATGAAGCGGCATAGTTTTGCCTGTGGGCAGGCACGGTCTGTTACCACACCCTACAACCTTCCTCATTGCACTGGAATCAATTAATCCAGCTGTCAGATATCAGAAACAAAAAAAAGCAGCCAAATCTTACCAATATGCAATGCTTGATTAATCCATCCCGCAGTATGCAATCCCATCCATCCAAAGAAAAACCAGAGATATTTGGCAACTAATCCATCCTGCTGTGGGTCAACCCCACACGTGTTTGCTTCCCAGAAAGTCTAAACCATGATGAAGGGCACATAATTTTGGTCATCAATCTCATCAAGCAATAATTTTAAGTCATCTTGAGCATTTGATTTGCTGCAAGTTGGGGCGCATAGAGTCTTGACCGGACAAATTATCCTGCTGGCATGCCACCCAGACCCCCGCCTTAAAATAAAAATAGACTAGTAATATCCAATCTCCTCGATAATCTCATCCCAAGCAACAACTGCTGCTACAGTGCTTCACTTTTCTGCTATTTAAACCACTGACCCTCAGGATGGCTTGAGAAAACAAGACCAGTTGTATAGATCAGCTAATTTTCTCAACAGCTGAAACAAGGATCACGTATCTGCCAATCCACACCTAAGAGTGATCTCATTGAATCTTCAATCATGAATCACAGATTCGGTGCAGTCTCTGCAGTGACAATGGAAAGTTTGAGGAGTGCAAGGCCCTTACCTAGGAGGGGGCAGATAAAATCAAGAATTGCAGCCAATGCTCTTCATTCTATTGCTACGGTGCTGTCAAGGGCCTCATTCCATCACCACTATTCTACAGGAAAAACAAACCAAGAGAGAGTGAAATCATAAGAGCTCGGATGTCACCAGTATTAATCCTATCTTTTTTGCCATTGATTGTAATTGCAATTTGTAGTGTTATTTATCATGGAGGGTGCCATATTACTTTTGTCATAAATATCATTGCCGGTTGCAGCATAAACCACCAGTTATTCAAATTTTCTTTTTTCTTGTTCCTTTTTTGGCTATTCAAACAGCTGGCTTTGTGCAGATACCACCGAACAAACCAAACATGAATCTGTAGAAGAACCATATCAAAGCGCTGCAGAGGCAAGGAAACATTTCCAAAGCATATATTTCCGTGTACATTTTCACATATGTTAAAAACCTGTCTGCATACAAGTATACACACGTCTTTGTACGGTTGTACATACAACAAATTTCATATGCTCATAACAAGTTCAAACTATACCGAGGCCTTATTCTAAACAGCCTACGAAAAGCTATAAGCAGCTTTCTTCAAAACTGAAAAAGGTAAATATGATAATCTGTTGAAAAAACTGAATGATGATTCCATTTTCCATACTTAGGAAAGTTAAAAGCTGGTCTGGAAAGCAATCCAAAGCCTGCTTTTCCAAAGTAGCTTTTATCAATTTCAAAAGAGCTGCTCTTAGCCTAACTAAGTTCGAGAAGGCGCCCAAAAAATAAAGGAGGTAGCACTGTGCTATCTCATTGCAGGGCTAAAAGTGTGCGCTTATAGCAATATTTTCATTAACATAAGAAAGACCACTCACCTTCTTCAGAGCATCATCAAGGAACCACTGCCACTAATTGTATGAGAGAATATCCAAATCCAGCAAAAGTTAAAGTTTCATTCTCCCCTACTAGCATCTGCCTTGTAACTTGTAAGTATTGCAGTTTCACACGGGTTTCATGATAGGATGGGATTTGATCAATTGTTAGTGAATCATCTAACTTGAATCCAACTGTAACCAGTCTCCTTAGTAACCACTTTTTCTTCCATTTCCTTCCTCAAATCTACAGCTTCATTCCATATCTCAGCCGAAGCATAGAGATTTGCGAGAAGAATGAATGCAGAATCATTCTCAGGCTGGAGTTCAAGGAGCTTTTTGGCTGCAACTTTTCCTAGATCTATATTATTGTGGATAGTACAAGCTGATAAAAGAATCTGCCATATATGAGCATCAGGGAGAATGGGCATTTCATCAATGATATTCAATGCTTCTTCCAGAAGTCCAACATGACCAAGCAGGTTGACAACACAGGCATAGTGTTCTAACTTTGGGATTATTTTATCAATTTTGAACATGGTATTCAAGTAATAGTGAGCCTCGTTAACTAAACCTGCATGGCAACATGAACTCAGAATTGCAAGATAACTAATCTCATCAGGCTGATTTCCAGATTCCACCATGCCACTGAAGATATCAAGAACTTTGTCGTAGAAACCACAATGTGCATAACCCATCATCATGGCATTCCAAGCTGCCAAATTATCTTTGCTTGTACACCTGAAAGCATGCTCGGCATCATCTAAGCTTCCACACTTGCAATAAACGTCTACTATAGCACTTTCCACATAGTAATCCACATCAGCACCCGACTTAAGTGCCAAAGAATGAATAGCCCTCCCTTGTTCCATTTCCGTCAGAAGTCCACAAGCTTTGAGAACTAAACTAAAAGTCACATTATTAACTTCAGCGGATGAGCTCCATCTTGTTTGAAATAATTCTAGAATCTCGCTGTAATTACCAGCATGACCCAATGCACTTAACATAGCATTCAAAAGTTTCACATCCACTACATCAATCTCGTCAAACACCCTCCTAGAATGATAGATTCCATTGCATTTTCCATAAGAATTCAAGAGACAAGACAGCATGGAATCATCTGACATAGATCCCCATTTGATCAGAAATGAATGGATCTGCATTGCCAATCCCAAGGAGTTTGAACCAGAGAGAACGTCAAGAATGCTTGCAATAGTATATTCGCTAGGGCCCAAGGCAAGTTTACGCATCTGAGAGAACAAAGAAATAACTTTACCAGTGACTCCATTATCTGCATAAGCAGTAATCAAAGCATTCCAAGAAACAGAATCTTTAGCAATCATCTCATTAAAAACACATTCAGCATTTAACACTTCGCCAACCTTCCCATACATGGAAATCAAGGCATTGCACACAGAGACCACAGACTGATAACCATCCTTGTGACAGAATGCATGAACCTGCTTTCCTAACTTTTGCATTTTTAATCCTTCAATTCTTGATAGAACATTAACTAATGTATATTCATTCACTTCTAAGTTTCCCGAAATGCAAAACCGGAACACCTCAAAAGCTTGCAGTCCATTATAAGCTATCCCAATCCTCTGTGTCCAAGACACAGCATCTCGTTCCGGAATTTCTTCAAACACTTTAATTGCATCAACCGTCCACCCAAACCTACCATACATACTCATAATTGCATTGCTCAAACAGATTGAGATCCCATTTAAGAATCCAATCTTTTGACTAAACCCATGTATTTGCTCCCCTTCTTTCACCTCCAAAACTCCACCAAGCATGGTAGTCAGAGTAAACTCATTCGTTTCCAAACCCAATCCTCTCATTTCCTTAAAAACATCCTTAGCCTTATCAAACTCATTGTTCCAGACATAACCATTAATCATAGAAGTCCAGACCACAGAATCCAAACACCTATTATCCTGAAAACACACTTCAGCACCAGTCAAAAGCCCATTTTTTGAATAATTTTCAATCAGCCCACTTATCAAGAACGCATTTTTAACAAACCCCAGTTTAACTGAAACACCATGAGCCATCCCATTGTGGGTAATTTCAACACAAGCCTTTATTAAAGAACTTAAACTATAAGCATCAGGCTTGAGACCCTGTTGCCTCAACTGGTTAAAGACCAGAAATACAGGGTCGGGTTGGCTGAAACGGGCCAACCCAGAAAGGATAGAGTTGTAAACTACGACGTCAGGGAAGACGGTGTCATTGAGGAGGTTGATGGCGCGCGGGAAGAATGAAGTGGCAGTGGGGAGTGTGATAGAGGAATGGGAAATGAGAGAAGCGGAGAGAAAGGGGTGGAGAGTGAAACCTGATTTGATGAAGAGAGAATAAAGGGCGTCCGTGATGGTGAGATTTGGAGTGGGGAGTGAGAAGGAGGCTTTCAGGGCCTGCGGAAAGAGGTTTTGGCGGAGGAAAGATTTGATGGCGGTGAAGGCGGGGGGAATACTTTTGGCGGTGAGTTTCTTCATTCATGATTAGTTTTGGCGGGGGTCCGGGACTTGGACTCTGCAGATTAGCTAAAACCACTATCTAATATCCATCACCTGTTGGTATTGCTTGGCCGGAGCCTGGGTTTTTGCAATTCTACAGTCAGCCGTTTATTATAACCTAACCGAAAAGCAATTTACCCATTTCCAATCAATCAAATTAAACTTTGGACACCAATTTGAGGACCAGTCTCGCACCCCAAAACCAAAAAAAGAAAGAAAAAGGAAATCTCGATTACCGATCAGTGAAATACTACTCTTATTAGGTAAATGCACAATGTATTTAGAGTTGTAAAAAAAAACATTTTCTTGAAAAGAAGCTTCATCCAAACAAATGATTATTTTTTGTTCTTTTACTCAGGCTTGAGTTTTCTGAGCTGAGTTCTAGTATGTTTCACATTTTGCTCACAGAATATTTTTAAACCCCAATTTAGCTCACTAAAACTTACAAATGTGTGATTCAAATTTTGTTTGTCAAGCTTTAAGCTTTATCCGAGCTCATCAATCTTTACATCACGTCTCCTACAAGATAATAATGATTAGAATAGAAGAGAAATAATAATCAATGTGTTTGGATAGGAAATTATTTGGGATAATTTTTTTGAAAAATACTATAACACTTTTTAAATATAATATATGTGAGATAAAAAGATAATTCGAAAATATTGTTGATGATACAAGTAAATCAGTGTGTGTGTGAATAAAATGTAAATAACGTGTAAACCAAACACACTCAATATTATAATGTATAGGAGGAAGTGCATTCAGTGCCCAAAAAAAAAATAGAATTTAACTTTTTCTTTTTACTTATTTACATAATAAGCTAGCCACATTTTCAACCATATTTTTCGTGTGTAATAACAAACTTCAAATCGCTCAACCATCTCTTTGTATTGGTAACGACAAGAATAAACACTACTATTGCTGATAATCAAAGGGAAAGATCTGTCCTTGATGCCCTCTTGTTGAAATTTGAGAGTTTTTTTTTTTTTTTTGAGATGATTAAAGCATGGGCTTAAGAGGAATGACAAGACTATATAAGTTGCGATTTGCGTGATGATGGTACATTCGAATTATTTTGGGGCTAGGATCAGTCCAGAACAGTCCAATTGCCTATCCGGGCTTTAAACAAAAAAGTATTGGCACTTTTTTATTCTTTTTTGTCGGAGTACTATAGTTCGAATCGAATTTTGGGCCTGGGTTTGATGGAAACGAGGTTCCTTGAAAAATAAATACTACAGTACTACTCTAATTGGTTGTGTATTATTTTAAAAGGCGGTTTTGAACTAATTTCTCATTGCAAAATATGCATATAAAAATGCTTTTAGTTTTCAAAAAGTCATTAAAGTCTCAGAGAAAATACAAGTGTTTAATCGTTAGCTAATCATCAACCTCTGGTGTATGGATTTCCAAGGAAATTAGAGAAGTAAAAAGACGCACTCACTGAAAAAACGACTAGAAAAAAAAAAGTTTTAAGAATTTGCAGAACATTTTTCAGTTAAGGATATTTTAGCACGTAAGCAGATAAACTATTTTAAGGATATCCTATTATTATAACTATTGTGAATATGTGTATCAACAATCTTAACATGTTAAACTGAAATCATGAAAATCATACCAAAATATAAGAAGGTTATTGGCTTTTAATAACAGGAATTTATATGGTAGTATTCTACATCTGGCATCGTATGTTTTACGGTAACATTAAAATAAAGGTAATGTGAAACAAACCAGTAGGCCGCAAAGTATACGTCAATCCCTGGTTTCTATGGACCACAACTAGAAATCTCCGTAGTTTCCTCGCCAAATTTCTAGGCTTACCTTGAATCCATAATCGATCGGTTGCTTTCATGAATGTGCTCGGGAAATACTAGTGGTTTAACAAATCACCTAATCAGTCCAAACTCCAAAGTGACATGACTTAGATCGATCAAGCGATGCAGCAAGCAGCATTAGACCATCATTTTCAAACCAGGTCAACGGTTAGTTGATGGTTTCTGTGAATTTTGATCTTCGAGGCTAATTTACTCGGACGCTGAGTCCTTTCTTCTTTTTGCTTATATTACCATGATCATTTAACCTAAACTAGTCATCATCCCGTTTTTCTTATTCGTCCGTTCAAAGTTATGGTTCACATTTCAATTGAAAAATATATTCATAAACTTTTAACTATTTTAAAATACCCTTTTTTTGATATGCTTCGTTAGTGTAACCTATCTTATTCAACGATTGCTGTGCATTGAACGGTGCAACTTTCATCAATATTTTTATTGTAATTAATGTAAACGTATAGGCTCCGTTTGGATTGATCATTTTTTTAAAAATAAATTTTTTAAATACAATACTACAGTAATACACAATAACTCAAAAAATTTTCTCCGCAAATTTATCCAAACATTCAAAACTATAAGCAAACCCTCCAATCTAGATATACAAGCAAAAAAGGTGCTTCCATTAAATTTGACCTAGCATTAAGTATCATTTAAATGTCAAGATTATTTAGTGCACGTGTTCAAGGTTAACAGAGTAGGATCATCTTCAAGTTCGCTACAAATTAATACGCGTTCTTTCATTGACAAATACTACTAGTCAAATACTCCTACTCGTAGAAAAGATGCGGGCTTTCCTATTCCCACGCATGAATCAACTCTCTACGTCGAGGCCAGAAACAATTAGTAGTGTCAATATGGTGTTTGTACTTTGGCCTAGCGTAAATTATGCTGATAGGTCTACGTTAATGCTGACTAGAACTAAGATTATATCCGTCTCGCGTCATTATTAGCCTCTCGTTCTCTCTCTCTCTCTCTTTCAAGTGAGCTATCATCCTAAACCGGATCAACACGTTAGGCGTCTACACTCTACCGACCGCGCCCATGGTCCACCACAGTCCAGTACATCACCATGCGGGCTGTTTCCCTTTTTCTCTTTTAAGACCCATAATTAGGAGGATTGGACCGTCGTTTTATGTTTGTATAAAAGCATTGAGGAATTTTTTTTTTTTTTTAACTCAAAAGTCCGATAGTGTTCCCCAATGAATCCCACTATTTAACTTTTTTTTTTTTTGGTTGGTTTTTCGTTTTATTGAATTACAAAACATATCTATCCATATGCTAGTCCAAAAGAAACTTTGGCGATAAGTGAGAATGTAATGTATGGCCTACTTTTACTGGATATACTAACATCAATCCTGTCCCATCAATTGAGTAGGGTGAGCCCTTCGTGTCTATACTCGCAGAATTAAGGAGGACTCACTTATCAGTTTGGATTGTTATTTTTAAAAATTTTTGTTAAAAAGTATATTAGAATAATTTGATGTACATGAGATAAAATAATAATTAAAAATATATTTACAAAAAAACTTAAATATATTTGTGCTGAAAATCACAATCCAAAAAAATATTTTTGTTAAGGAAAATATGATTGTGACTACTCTTTCCAAATCTCTTTTTTTTTTTTTCTTTTTATAGTTCCCGTATTTTAGACAATTCTATTCCTAATTATTAGACACTTTCGTGAATTTTTTAAATATCACAAAAAACCTTTCAAAATTATAATGTGCAAACAACCATTCAAAGTTATACAATGCGCGTATGATGCCGCTAGAATCTTTTTTGTTAGCAAAACTATCATTCACAGGGAAAAAAAAAATGCTCTGCAGTCTACACCCCAGGGAAGTGTGGGGGCAATCGCCACAGGCCTAATTAGCATGCGTTAATTCAATTGATGAGAACGGATTATTTCTTTAATGAAGATTATGCTTTTAAGTCTCACTATTGGCATGGAAATTACGTTAATAGACATTCTATAAAAATGTACCATGTGTGTTTCGAGATCATGCCTTGATCCATAATATTTTGATTGAACTCCAATTCATCTAAATCTTTATATTTGTTTTTTAACCAAAAGAAAAATTGCTCGAGGCCCATCCCATGGCTTTGCTGGCGTTACACTGCAGTTTACAACGCCTCAAATATCCTTTGCCGTAGATGGACTTAAAAGAAACCATCCTACACGAGACGACCACGTAGAAGAATTAAACACATTAGAAGCTCAGATCGGATGATACCTCCTTCGGTCATCAGGTCGACCTTCCTTCGATGTCTACCATCCATGTGGTGCATCCTTAGAACAGACTTTGCACTACTGCACGGACTTAGTCTGGCATAAGCCTGTGCCAGCCAAACAAAAAACAACACATTAGAAGGCAAGCCCATTTCCCTTGTCTTATACGAGTAATAAATGTGCGATTTTCACCGTTCCAATCCCATCTCCACGGACAATTTTAAAATCAGTGTATGGGTTTGCCATATGTATTTTAAAAAAATATATAGATATACTTGCGCGAGATTTTTTAGTGTATAGGAACACGGGGCAAACAAAGCATACATTAGTATTCCTACATTCTCTTAGTATTAGTATTGTAGGGAAGAGGGAATTATAAGTGGTGGGTATGGGAAAGGAATCGTAGTAGTAGTAGTAGTAGTAGTAGTATAGGGCAGGGACAGTGAATCCCTGGCGATTCACAGCTCTCATCGAAGTATTTGATAAGGTGCTGCCCCCGTGCACTGCAGCTCCCATCCGGGAGGGAGACTCTGCTGCAACCTGGCACCATTGCATGCTTTCTTCTTCCATTCGGGATCCCCTTCAACCCTCTTCTCTCCTCTTTCCTCTACCCCTTCCTTCTACCGCCTTCTCCTTTTTCTCCCGGCGGTGTCCTTTATAAGTTATCACCTTTTGTTTCCACAGATCTAATGTGTCTACCCCCCAAATCTTCCCACAACCATGGCAAAATATCATCCTCTTAAATAACCCGGTACAGGGTCCTCAATCTTTGCTAAAACTTCCCACCAACGCTGAGGAAAATCACCGTCAGCTGATTTTATCGTTGATATTTCTTTCTCTTCATTTCGGGGCATATTTTTTTGGCTAGTGTATTATTAGTATTAATATATTGCCGTTGTTTTGTTGTAATTGTTTGTCTTTTTGGGAGTTCTTGAGCAAGACAATGAAAGGAAACCAGAAGGATCCGGAGAAATTCATCTGGGATCAGATGAGAAGTCCCTCCGGG